TTATAATATTAAAGCTTTGCTTCATGTGATGGCGTTGCCTGGTCCTACAGAGAATACATCAAGAATTACTGTTTAGTTGTCTCTTTGGTTTGGTGATAAAGAAAAGAAAAACCAAAGTTTTGCAATTGCATTGACCTTACCAGCTCACAGAGACTCTCAAACTTCGCTTTCCAATCAAAGCTCTTTTGCATTGCATTCAAGCTTAAGCAACAACAACAACAATCGCATTACATTCACTTGTAGACAAGACACGAATCCAACAATTTAATTTTTGTTCTGGTCGAAAAAATCACAAATCTCAGGTTCTGATTTAGAAGTTTTAAAGTTGTGAGCTTGTTTGATCCGATGTTGGTTCAGGATCGTGCAGCGCCTTCTCCTGCCAAGCCGCCGAAATCTCAGATCAGAGAACTACCTACTCATCAACAGATCCGACGACGATTCAGTGAACCCAAAAACCTAGATTTCTCGACTTGGTTCTCTGAGAATCTCTCTAGAATTGCTGTCTTCTCTCTCTTAATCGTCACCATAGTAGCTCTTTTCTTCCTCTACAACACCACCGACACTGCTTCTCTCCTTTGTTTCCAGTCTCAGTCAACTCAGTCGCTTCAATCTCTCTCTCGCCCTCAAATCAAGTGGAATTCGATCCGAGTCGTCCCTGACAAGACCTCTCCTTACGCTAATTTCCTGACGGAGAAATGGATTGTTGTGTCGGTGACCAAGTACCCAACTGAGGAGCTCAAGAGCTTGGTGAAGATTCGTGGATGGCAAGTTCTAGCGATTGGAAACTCGGTGACACCAAAAGATTGGAGTCTTAAAGGTTCGATCTTTTTGTCTCTCGATGCTCAAGCTGAATTGGGTTATCGAGTTTTAGATCACTTGCCTTATGATTCTTTCGTGCGGAAGAGTGTCGGTTACTTGTTTGCGATCCAGCACGGTGCGAAGAAGATCTATGATGCGGATGATCGTGGTGAAGTGATTGATGGAGATCTAGGGAAGCATTTTGATGTTGAGTTAGTTGGTGTAGACTCTAAGCAAGAACCGATTTTGCAGTATAGTCATGAGAACCCCAATAGGACTGTGGTTAATCCTTATATTCATTTCGGGCAACGTTCGGTTTGGCCTAGAGGTTTGCCATTAGAGAATGTAGGTGAGATCAATCATGAAGAGTATTACACTGAGGTTTTTGGTGGTAAGCAGTTTATACAGCAAGGGATTTCCAACGGTTTACCGGATGTTGATTCGGTGTTTTACTTCACTAGGAAAACGACTTTAGAAGCTTTTGATATTAGGTTCGATGAGCATTCTCCGAAAGTTGCTTTGCCTCAAGGTGTGATGGTGCCTGTTAATTCGTTTAACACTCTTTACCATTCGTCGGCTTTTTGGGGGTTAATGCTTCCTGTTTCGGTTAGTTGTATGGCTTCTGATGTGTTGAGAGGTTACTGGGGACAAAGGCTTTTGTGGGAGCTTGGTGGTTATGTTGCTGTTTATCCACCTACGGCTCATCGGTTTGATAGAATTGAGGCTTACCCTTTTGTAGAGGAGAAGGATCTTCATGTTAATGTTGGTCGTTTGATCAAGTTCTTACTTGCTTGGAGATCAGAGAAGCATAGTTTCTTTGAGACCATCCTTGATTTGAGTTTTGCTATGGCTGAAGAAGGGTTTTGGACTGAACAAGATTTGAAATTCACAGCTGCTTGGCTTCAGGATTTGATTGCTGTTGGGTACCAACAGCCGAGATTGATGTCGCTGGAATTGGATCGCCCTCGAGCAAATATCGGTCATGGAGATAGAAAAGAGTTTGTTCCAAGGAAGTTGCCTTCGGTTCATCTCGGGGTTGAGGAGACCGGCACAGTGAGCACTGAAATAGGGAACTTGATTAGGTGGAGGAAGAATTTTGGGAATGTTGTGCTGGTTATGTTTTGTAGCGGTCCGGTTGAACGCACCGCACTCGAGTGGAGGTTACTTTACGGCCGGATATTCAAAACTGTTGTGATATTGTCTTCTCAGAAGAACTCAGATCTCTATATCAAAGAAGCCAAACTCGATCACATTTACAAGTATGAATTTTCTCAAAGATTAGTATGTATATGTTGATTAAAGTTCAAGTTTCTAATGGTAAGTGTGTATGTATATTTCAGGCATCTTCCAAAGATATTTGATCGATACAGCAGCGCAGAAGGATTTTTGTTTGTTGAAGATGATACAGTTCTCAATTACTGGAATCTACTTCAAGCTGACAAGTCTAAGATTTGGACTACAGACAAGGTACAACATTTTCATCAAGTTTCAGCTTTATTCTAATTCCTATCTCGATATGTGTATCTGACAAGGTAACTTCTTGTTGTAAACTGGCGATTTAGGTATCAAAGTCATGGACATCAGTGAAACCGACCGGAAACTCTGATTGGTTTTCTGTACAAGCAGAGTTAGTGAAGAAAACTGTATATACAATGCCAGCTCATTTCCAAGTTAACTACAAGGACGCCACCAAGAACAATCATGAAACCTTAACAGTTTGCAGTTCAGAGGTATTCTACGTGCCTAAACGACTAGTAACTGACTTTATCGATCTTGTTGATCTCGTGGGTGATATGGACTTGCATTACAAAGTGGCTGTGCCAATGTTCTTCTTGTCGATGGATACGCCTCAGAATTTTGACCCGGTTCTTGGTTCAATGGTATATAAGAGGAAATCAGCTTCGTTTAACACTTCTTCGAGTCTGTATTCTGCTAAAGCACCTGCGGTTCACCCGTGGAGTATATCAAGCGAACAAGATTTCATCAAATTGGTTCAGCAAATGGCTGAGGGCGACCCGCTTCTGATGGAATTGGTATGATGGACTCAAGGTATAGAACTTGCAGTAATGCAATGATAGAAAAAGAGTTATACAAAAATTGTGTCTTTGATTCTTTTCTTATTGGTTCCCTTTTCAGAAAATTTTTTCTTCTGGGGGTTGTGGAGAAAGTCATGTAATGTTCCATTGTAACCATTCGTTTTGTGAGTGTATAATGTTTCCCCATCTAATATCAGTCTCTGCTTCATCAATGAAGAGAAAAACAAATGTTTCAGACAACTGGAAACAAGCCTCTGAATTTTACAAGTTATGACACAGTTTTGTTCCCACAAAAAAAGACCTTGGAATGCTAAGGAAGCTTGGTGAAGAGATCCTGAAGCTGAGTGTGGCTCACCACAACACCAAGTTTCTGCGAAATCGCCGCTCTCACTGTTTCCGCATCCAAGCTCGACAATGTATCCGCACCGCTCATGGAAATGTACTCGCTCAAATTGTGCAAAATTCCGTCTTCAGAAGCAAGACAAAAGCCAGCTGAGCAAATGAATATTGTTGATGAAAGGATGAAAAGTTACATCTTACCTTGGGCAACAATGGGTTCATAAGGTGGAGGTTGAGCAGTCCAACTTCCATCAGGCTCTTTCATGTGTCTTCTATCAGAAGCAAAGTGCTTAAAGAACAGAGGAGCATGAACGATGCGGAAGAACCTGATCTCAACAAAACAGAAAGACAAAACCAGCTTACATTACATGATGCTGAATTTCCTAGCCAAATCTATATTGCTTGACATAAAATAACCAAAACACTTTGCCGTGCCTTTCATAAACAGTTTTGCAGATATATATCAGGTTCAGGAACACAAGAAGATAAAGAAGCCTATAGTTAGTTTATTGGTGATAGAAAAGTAATCGCAATAAAAGGCTCCTGCTTTTGCATCCTGATATCTATTACTTGGTTATCTATTACTTGGTGGTACAGTGATGTGAAAGTTATAGATTACCTCTGGTAGTCTGCGAAAAGCTGAAAAGATGGCTGGATAGTTTCAGTCACATATGAGGCTAAGGGTGAAGGGAAGGGCAAAGTCGAATCAAGATCCCACACCAAAGGCTCAGAATCACTTTCTTTCTTCCTCTATTCAATATTCATGCAAATACAAAACCAAAACTAAGTTCAATTCTAAAAACTGACATAACTGGTTTTGGACATTATAGATTTACCTGGACACAGATGACATGATAATCCCACAGTACAACCCCATCAGCTCTGCTACTAGCTTTCTGATGCCAAAGTGGAACCTACAAGAACATCTAATAAACATATCAATATAACGGACATCGAAATATAAACGACTTCAAAATCAACAATCAAGACCAAAGACCAAAGAAACAGTGTGATGGAGATATAATTCCAACAGCAAACAAGACCAAAGATTTATAAATTACAGTGGAACAAAGATTACAAGTAAGAGAAACATGCTTGCCTGCTTCTTCTCATTCGAGATGAAAACAACAAACAAATCAGAATCCGTTGCATCCGCTACACCATTCTCGCACAACGTCTTGCAGAGCAGATACACGTTCTCTTCGCTACAATAATTCAACAGAAAAGAAAAAAAGTCAACATCTTTTTCTTATGTTCTGCTTCTTCTACCAATAAGGCAAAATAATCACCAAAGACAGAAGATTCTCCTAAATAGGAACGAAAATCAACTACAACCCTCAAAAGGGTTTACTGGATTCGGAAATTACATAAAACATGTAGAATACACCGTTCTCTCATTTGAAGAAACCTAAATCAATGGAAAAATTTGTTTGAAAAGAAGAAGAAAATACCAGTAGTAGGGAGTGTGCTGGAATCGAGTGGCATCCATTGCAATAAGCTCCGAGGTGACACTGGCCATTTTTTTTTGGAATTTGATCAGTGCTCTTCTCTAATTTTCCTACTTCCAGCAACTTTGATCATCTAATCGTCAAATCTAAAAAGTGGTCGGTACAATTGGGTAAATGGTGACCGGAGAAGAAACAGAGAATAAAAAAGTCGATGTATCGTGAATAGACCAAACGATGTCGTAATGTGAATATAATCGTATAATGCAATAAACGACGTCGTTCGCAAATTCAGTTCAAACGATGCCGTATTAGTAATTGACAAAACGACGACGTATATTTAATTTTTTATTCTTTCTAATTTCCCATTAATATCGGAATCGCTCGCGTGACAGAGCAGTGACGATGGAGGAAGAGCAAGACGCGCATCATCGCCGGCAGATCTGCAACAACTGCGATCGTCCAAACGCGATTTGTCTCTGCCACGTCTTACCGGCGGATCTAATTCCGACGAATACAAAAATCATCATCCTCCACCATCCACACGAGTCACGCCACAAGCTCAACACCACACCTCTCCTTACCAAATCCTTACGAAACGTCATCAGAATCCCCGCCCGCCGTATCCTCCGCCGTCACATCTCCACCGTCGGAGAAACCTCTTCCCCATCACCACCAACAATCTACCTCTTCCCTTCTTCTCCTTCCTCTCCCGCCATCACTATATCCGAATTCAAATCCCTAAACCTCTTAAACCATCGAGACATCTCAAATCCGCCGCCGCTGAGACTCATCGTATTCGACGCGACGTGGAAGCACGCGAAGGAGATGGTGAAAGCTAGCGAGGAGGTTTTAAGAGAAGCAGGAGCGGTTAGAGTATGCTTAGATACGGAAATAGACGCATCTGTGAGCGGAGGAACCATATACGATTCAGAGCTTGTGCTAAGGAAGGAACCATTCGGAGGATGTGTAACTACGGCGGAGGCAGTGGCACGGTGCTTAGGAGCCATTGAACCGGACGGTGAAGAAATCGAGAAGAAGCTGATTAGTGTTTTGAAAGAGATGGTGAGATTCCAATCTAAGTACTTGAAGCCCATGAAACCAAGACCCAAGTTATTGAAGAAGAGATTTCAGAATCAGCAACCACTTGAACAAGAATGAGTTTCGTCCTTAGTTTTAAATTCTAGTTTAGCAAACTCTATGATTTTTGATGACATTTTTGTTACATTAGTTAATATACATAATTCTGTGATTTCTCTAACTTATTCACATTTTTTGCGAAGTTGGAGTAAACAAATCAATCAGTATATCTTCTTTTTTTTTTTTTTTTTTTTGTGTTGAACAGATAGATTATGGACTTTATAAAGTTATAAACTAGAAAAGAATAAATTATGGGACATGGGACCTTTCTTCCATGTGAAGTGATAAATAGAGGTGAGATCATGGACGGTTTTGTGATCATATAACTTTTGGGATTTGTATATGAAGGTGACACTTTTTTAAACTACACTCACTGACTCACATGATATGTTTTTAGGCTTTTTAGTACCGATGTTTTAATAGTAGATGCCTAATTCCTAAAGCACATAATGTTCAATCATTAAAACCGTTTCCTATAATTTCATAGTCCTTTTTATGCTCCATATTCGAATTGGAGGTCAAAATAAGTCTGACTCACTGTTTTGAAGGAGTCGTTTTTTTGCTATTTGGTTCGAATGTTGGTCGCTCATGACTACAAAGTGAATATTGCTAATCGATATCGTTGGTTGTTGTCCTAATAACTTCAAAACAAACATGATCTATATGCTACGTAAGGGAAAGTCATCACAAATACTAATTTCCGAATTAGATAAATTCTGAATTAAAAGCTCAAAACTTATTAGTTAAGAGAAAGAGATGAAACTGCTAAGTCACGATCTCAACTTTAATTTGTTAGGTTGCATCTTACTTAACTACATTAGTTTTGGTCCACGTTTAACCCGAGTCTGTTCATTCTATATTTTCTATGCAATCAAAATTATACTCTTATCATCTCTTCATAGTGTTTACTTTTAACATTTATATACTTTTGATACCGATTATATTACCATGCATGTTACATTTCTCGACTTTTTAAACACACATATTTTCTTTCATTTGACTCGGTGTGGACATTTTAAGTATGTAACTGATTGAAGTTATCCACTTTATTCATTTTTACGTATTCCTTAATTTATGATGGAGTGACCTTCAATTCTAATTTTTATTCATTTCTTCATGATAGTACAAGTTAATAATTTTATCTGTTCTCGATTTTTTTTTTCTTACGTGAAGTTGACCCGGCAACACACAACGATCAATTTATCGAGTATGGTAACTTTGTTTTTAACACCTTAAAACATTCACTGATATTGTGAAATAGGCTACGGGAGATGGATTTGGATCCTAGTTAAGTGCATGGTAGTCGAAAGTATGCTATGTACCATCGGTCATATATATAGAAGCTACACTTTGTACCTTCTTTTGGGAGGTTTCAAGTGTATCATATGCGAATGAGACTATCAAAATGTTAATATAAATGGAAAACGGTGAACTTTAAATGCATAATTAGATTAGAGAAGTTGGTAGATGGTTGTAAGAATTTGAACAAACTCTAGTTGGCAAAGCATTGATGTTAGCTAATTCTGAAATCTCTTCTTCATACTATTTACGATTATACATGCCATAACTATTTTTTATTTTTTTGTGTTGAAAACGAGAGTAGAGAAAAAAGGAGTATTATCCATCCATGACATCTGCCAAAAGCGTAAAAGTAGAAAAGAAGGCTGTTCTACATTTATCTGGTTATTGTATATTATTCATGATTGTTGTTGTTTTGTTAAATTAAAGAGTATATTTTTACGAAGAAATACTATGGAGTATGTTCTTTTAATATACGGAAAGTGCTTATCCTTCAAAAGGAGATTAATCGTACAAATTCACATGCTAAAAAAGGACGATCGTGTCATGCTGAAATAGGGAAATGATGAGACCAATCTCTCCAAATCTAATTTATTCTGAAATACTTTTCTTTTTCCAACAATATTCTATATGATATTAAGTGTGTATAATGCATTTGGATAGTTTTAAATTTGTGTTGATAGATCTAATACGGTCTTAAAACTACATAGGTGATATCCAAATCAAGTACGATTTCACCTAACCTTTCTTGCAAATATTTGCATAATTATTTTGTTAATGTTTATAAATAACCAGGTTGGTAGCTATTTATGGTACAACAAATCCAATAAATGTATGAAAGTTTATTTACGATTAAATGCAAGATATATTTCATAACAAAATTAGCGACGTTTCCAATTATAATCATGTTTGTTAACAAAATACAAAAAAAAAAAAACATTGATAAGTCATAGTATAGAATGAACTACTTTTTTCCAATTATATTATATTAAAATCCAAAATATAGGTAAATATCAATGAAAATAGCTTAAAATAGATAAACTTATGTTATTTTATTTCCTATTGCTATTTATTCATTTAGTTTTGTAATAAATTTTCTAATAGTAATTTATGTTTATGTGAGCTGGATGGTTTTAAACTCCCGTGTATTCCCAAATTTCAAAAAATTTGGGATTAATGTGGATTATTTGGAATAAAAAAAGTGTGGTAAAAAAAGAAAAAGGCAAAAGAAGATTGGTCGGGTGGAAATGGAATCACGACCGGATCTAATTTTTTGGCCTTAAAAATTGACAGACTCTTCTTAAACGTCTTTTCTCAGACCTTTGTCTTCCTCTATCTTCTTCGTCTTCTTCGACCTCGTCGTCTGGTAGTAATTCAATCTCTCTCTACTGTAATAAATCTAAGGGAAAAAAAAAACGTTACGAAAAAGCATTAAAAAGAGAGAGAAACGTAATAAAAAAACACAGCTCAGCTCACAACCTCTTTTCAATTATTCAATTAGCTTTTTTTTTTCTTTCCTTCTCTTCTTCATCTTCCCTCGTCTTCTTTGCCAGTTCTTCTTCTTCACCTTTCGTCGTTTTCTTAGTGCCACCCAAAGATCTTGGTGCAGGTACTTATTTCTACCTCGATCGATTTTGACTAATGGGTTAATGTATGATTCATCTGATTTTCGATTTGATCGTGTTCGTACCTTGCTCTGTTCATGATCTGTTTCCCTCTAATCTGATTTTCTCGATCTGGCTGCGTCCTTGTTCTTCTCAGCTTATATTGTTATTATTTATCGCTTCCTTGTCGGTGCTGGGTCTTCTGAATCACATTTGATCAATTCCTCAAAATCGCAAAAGTTTGATTTTTTTCTATTTCTAAAGGCTGATCGAGCCAAAATTCTGACTCTCTGTAGACTTTGCCTGTTTCTAGCTTTCGAGATTTGATTTAAAGTTTTCTAGATGAATCTCAAATTATAATTACAGAATTGACCAATGCCTTTGCTTTGAGAAACAGCTGAATAACAAATGTTTGAGATCATTCATCTCCAAGTAAATGGGAGGATTTGGTTGATTTATCTTCTCTCTTTTTATTAACTCTGTTCTATATTTGTTTGACTCAACAGGTTCATTGGCGTCTCTAGTATATAAATTTTCACTCACACACACAAAAAAAAAAAAAAAGGATTTGACTGTTATACAAAATGTCTACCAAAGTGCTGGATCCTGCATTTCAAGGAGCTGGCCAGAAACCGTATCCTTTCAGCAAAATAACTACTTTATCATTAGTGTTAGATATCAAAAAGGAGCAATCTAATTATCTTTCCCGAGATTCCTTAATGTTTGGACTGTATTATGAGCTTGTGTTGTGAACCTTAACATTTGTTATTAGAGGGACTGAAATCTGGAGAATCGAGAATTTCGAGGTAGTTCCAGTACCAAAGTCTGAGCATGGAAAGTTCTATATGGGAGATACTTACATTGTCTTGCAGGTTTTAAATTCTTTTCTTTCTTCTGTTTTCTGTGTTCTATAAAATAATTAGTTATGATCTCTTACAAGACAGACAGACTAACTTATGTCTATCTTCCATTTGCGCAGACAACACAGAATAAGGGGGGTGCTTATTTGTTTGATATACATTTCTGGATTGGTAAAGATACAAGCCAGGTACTTATCTCCAAGACTCTTTATTTTGTAACGACTGTTTTTGGAAGAGAAGCAAAGGTGAAACTGTGTTTTGCTAACTTATGGTTTGATGATTTTAGGATGAAGCTGGAACAGCAGCTGTTAAAACAGTGGAACTCGATGCAGTTCTTGGAGGCCGTGCTATCCAACACCGGGAACTTCAGGGTCATGAATCTGACAAGTTCTTGTCTTACTTCAAGCCATGTATAATTCCGCTAGAGGGTGGTGTTGCGTCTGGTTTCAAAACACCTGAAGAAGAAGTGTTTGAGACCCGGTTATATACTTGCAAAGGAAAACGTGCTATCCGTTTGAAGCAGGTTTTAACTATTGTACTCTCTTCGCATTAGAACGGAGTGAACGGTGATTACCAATGTACATTAACTTTTTCTTCTGTTCCTTTTTTTTGTAGGTTCCTTTTGCCCGCTCATCACTGAATCATGATGATGTATTTATCTTGGACACCGAGGAAAAGATCTATCAGTTCAATGGTGCAAATTCAAACATTCAGGAGAGAGCCAAAGCTTTGGAAGTCGTTCAGTATTTAAAAGACAAGTATCATGAAGGAACTTGTGATGTTGCGATTGTTGGTAAGCCAATTGCACCCTCTTCCTCAGTTTCCCGTCAAGTAAAAAGAAATGTGTTTGAATACTTATATATATTCACACTTCCTGGTGTAACAGATGATGGGAAATTAGATACAGAATCAGATTCTGGTGCATTTTGGGTCCTCTTTGGTGGTTTTGCTCCTATCGGAAGGAAAGTTGCCAATGATGATGACATTATCCCGGAGTCAACTCCACCTAAGCTTTATTGGTACTCGTCTTCCCTTTGATTAGACTCCGGTCTGTTAAATTCTAAATTGTCTTCTCGATAGAATTCACGACATCCTAATACCTATATTTTTTGTAGTATCTATTCTAGAGTTATTGATTGATATGTTGTTACTGTTTAATTTTAGCACCACTGATGGTAAGATAGAACCTATTGACGGTGATTTATCCAAATCTATGCTGGAAAACACCAAATGTTACCTCTTGGACTGTGGTGCTGAGGTATTTATCTGGGTTGGCCGTGTCACTCAAGTGGATGAGAGGAAAGCTGCTAGTAATTCTGCTGAGGTAAAGAGTGGAATTCTATTAAAACATTTCTTTGGTCCTTAGAATATCTATCTCAATCATGGCTTCTTACTTTTTACCTT